AACTAACTAACTAACTAATTAACTGACTAACTAACTAACTAAGTGACGTAGCACAATTGTGGACATGGATCTAAGGTCTATCTGGTGAGGCGTGACCAGTAGGTATTTAGTAGTCGGGGAGCTAGCGGCGTGCGCGAGCACGAAGATTCAGGGGGCAAGGATGTTGGTTGGTCAGTTTCAAGTTGAACCCACCTTGGCACATATTCCTTTTATATGCAAATTAAAGACTCTGTTTTGCCTCAGCAGTTATACACGAATTAATACATACAGTGTGACTTGTCCCCGATTGAAGGCACCGGCAAGTTACGAGTTCGGTTAATGACCACAACTTGAGCAGCACTGTAGCCGAGATTAAGCGTGTAGTGATCTTTAACACAGAAAAATTCTCATTGATAGTTAACTCGATAGAGGTCTTTTTCTTGCTGCCTTATGCACCAAAGCCTTCGGGCCTCTCTGTTGGTTGTGTTTCCCTGTAAATCTGCGAGGATAACCATTCGCCATGAGTGTTGTTGTAATTAACTCTAGCTCGTCGGCAAATCCGTCTAGCACGACTAAAGTTTTCGCAAGTGTCTGCTTGTACCGCACTGATGTGAAGCTGGTGTAGTGCAGGTCTTGGCCGGACCATGTTGTTTTCTGTGGACGGACCACTGATTGAGTCCGTCATCCCTGCGATTGATGAGGATGTCTAAGAATGGCAGACGATTCTTCTGTTTCACTTCGCACGTGACCTGCAATTCGGCGTGTTCGGTGTTATGCTGTTCTACCTGCTGCCCAGTCCGCTGATCCGACGAACAAATGGCCAATATGCATTCCACATAACGCTTATAGTATGGCACGTTGGCTATTTGTGTAGTTGTGCCTCTCTATCCTCGGCAGGAAGGAATCGGCGAGTACAGGGCCTATCGAGGTCCACATTACCATCCCCTCCAATATGACGGTATGGCGTGTACTGAAACTACAAGCCAACATTTTTGGTACCCAAAAATAAGAATTCCTCTATAAATTCGACTGACATTGATAACGAATAACGATGTTGCTAGGCTAGTTCACATGTATAATCAGCTGTGTGGTGTGGCGAGACGTTGGTGAACAAAGATTCCACATCCAAAGAAAACATAACCTTATCGGAGGACAGGTTGATGTTATCCACTTCATCGATAGGTTGAAAGGAATCCTTAAGATTCTAGGGACTTAACAATTGTCGCAGCGACGAAAGGATCTTCACTAGCCAGCGAGCATATTTATGCTGCGGTGCCATTCTTGATCGACAGAATTGGCCTAGGTGGTACTTCGCTCTTGTGCGTTTTCGGTGACCCATACAGCTGCGGAGTAGGGCTGCCACTCTACTTCAAACAAGTATAGATGTCCATATCAATCACGCAGTAAAGAAGACGCGTTTCAAGGTGTTGAACTATGCAGGCTTCAACCTTGGTTACGTTACGCACCTTCTTAACTCTTTCAAATTTCTGATGCCGTTGAGTGTGATACTCATAAATTACTTTCCACATCCTTGAAAGTAGAAACGCCTTTTCATATAGAAGACGTTAAGGCAATAATTTCTTTATCTGACATTCAGCCGGTAGACTGGTGAACGTTACCGTCCCCATCAGTTGTGGGTTTACCCAGTGTACTAACTCGGGACTTTATCACCAGCAGACTATCATAGTGTAAATTAAAACCAACAATGCAGAGAAAATATGACTAAAATGTTATCCTGGGAAATCCTGGAGACAATTTTACAGCATTCTAACAAATTTTCCGCCGTCATTTTCCTTACACTTTCAAAATCATGGGATTTGAGCGGTAGAACGGGGGGCAATATCCTAAAGGTGTGATGCCGCACAACTATACCATTTCCCGGCCAAGTTGTCCTCTTGGGCAACAGAAATAATCTGAGGGGGTATTCAACAAGAGTCTACTCAATTAATTTGTTCCGTGCGTACGCCAGTCACTTGTGCAGGTGTGTAGGTGTGCGTGCATAGCCCGTCGCCTTCAGCCAATTGGACCTCAGACTCACTAAGTCATACGGGTGCAGGTGGGACGCTTCAGCTCCTACGCACGGAACAAATTAATTGAGTAGTCATGTTGAATGCCCCTCAGATTGTTTCTGTTGCCCAAGAGGACAACTTGGCCGGGAAATGGTGTAGAGTGGTAGTCAACCTACTGGGTGTTGGGCTAACACATGACAGTTTTGGCGTCCGATCAACAACATTGTGGACCGTCGGATGAACATTTAAGAGGCCAGTGATCAGTGATGTGTCAGTGATGTTTCGCTCTACACCATTTATCGGTCGTTGTCGTTTTAGGCAACAATTAATCTGAGGGGGCATCCAACATGAGTCTACTCAATTAATTTGAGCCGTGCGTACGCCACTACTTGTGCGGGTGTGTAGGTGTGCGTGTATAGCCCGTCGCCTTCAGCCAACTGGACCCCAAACGCACTAAGTCATAGGGGTGCAGGTGGGACGCTTCAGATCCTACCAGGGATAGTGTCGATGGCCAATGCACCAGGTTGGCCTTTGTTTCTCAAATTAATTGGGTAGACTTATGTTGGATGCCCCCTCAGACTAATTCTGTTGCCCAAGACGACAACTTGGCAGAAAAATGGTGTAGATCAGTGAGGCGTGAATGAGTGCGCATGGAGTTGGTTGTAACGTTCACCGGTCCGATGTTGAATTACGCGTAGCCAATGATCCCAAAAACATAACAAAGTTGGATCGCAACAACTACGGTACCATTAAATTACATGCAGTTAAGTAAATCTTGCATACCTCAGGATCCCGGTCTATTACCATCAGCAACAAACTGCAATTACACAACAGGAAGGAAAGCGCTGTTCACGACAGACAGCCAGAGGACGTGAGCACATCATAGACGTGTGAAAGTATTAGCAAGGGCACTGGTCAAGCATTGACGGCCCAGTCACAGAGTGTGGGGTTTACAGGAACCACACATACAAGTAAACAATGTCTCAAATTTGACGACCTAAGCAGAGAAAGCGGTAACTATGTTCCGATGCCTTGGAGATAGCGACATCATGCGTAGTGCATGGGGCGTTTGTCACGGATGAAACAAATTCAAGTAAGGTCAACTTTCGTTACTGAGGAGATGAAGTTGAACCACAGGGCAAGAGTGTGAGGGTAGGGAGAATTGGACAGTTACCAAGATAAGTACACCTGAGGGGTATGAGAGTGATCACATTAACCTGGTCTTTTGAGGACATCGTTCGGTGCACGAGCACCCACGCCTAGAAGTCAGTTGAATAATATGAAAGTACAATTCAATCGAACCGATAGCAAGTTCCAGATAAATTTTCCAATCATTCAAGATCCCGCTACATCGGTATTTGATTCTAATACGTTTTTGTTCTGAAATTAGGCAATACAGCCTCAGTGGGGGAATTTTCGAGATGTACTTATATTTGTGGATTGAATACGGCAGAATAGGCACGAGGATTTAGGAATTCATTTGTTGCAGAGTAGAGAATGTTAGTACGTTACCTCTTGCGAGATCATTATGTACTTCGCAATACATTAGAACATAAATGAGAACAACAACTAACGCAACACAGCAAGCCAGAGCCAGAGCCAGAAGCATAGAAACGACAGCAAATCATGAAACGATACGGACCTTTTTGAAAGAATAACTAAAGGTGTTTTCTTTGGATATGCTATGTGGTCGTCTCGCCTTCTTAAAGGTCTCCGTCAGTATTGCGCGAAATCCCCCTGAACTTTGTCAGGAAGCGCAACTTGTCACTATGCCGCTTCGTGGAGTATTTTTCAAGCAAGATGTTGCTTTCTGTGTCAGTCACCGACTCGTGGGCCCAACGGTCGTCTGCAGCGTGCCACACTATGTCACTGATTCCCAAACAGAACATATTAACTGCCTATGCCGGTGACGTAACTAGGTAAAGCGGAGCATACAATCAATCCAACTCTCAAGGTGTCAGCATCCAACAGGAATAGAAGTCATACTCATTCAATCCGCGACCTATTTTGTGCAACCAGTTGCCACAGGCGACTACACCAAAACATACAGTAATGATAATGCAGCATTGGGCTATTTTTCATTGCACCAAGCCAATGCTGAAAGCGATGGGATTGTTGAGGTGTCTGTATTTTTCTAATCACATCTATGAGACCACAAGTATAACAGCCACATAGAACACAGTTGAGTGTACTCACCATCTTGGAAAATACTTGGAACCGATCGAGAACTCATAATTTCAGAAAGGTTTGAAAACACCCGGTTGGTATAGTTTGTGGGCAACGGTTCCTTTTTGACACCAAAGCTTCCTCAGGCCGAGTGAACCAGTCGAGGATTGGTATAACACTTAATGTGAACTGGGATGATACTCGCGACGAATGGGATGTAGGCAGAAGGTCAATCGCGTTACAGGTCAACGCATCCCCCCAGGGCAGAGGATGAATATCACATCCTCCCCGCACCCATCGTTAACAGGACTTGTGACGCGGACCACTTAGGACCGTTCCATACACTATTTGGAGGAATGAGTTGACCTTTAACGCGATTGACCTTCTGCCTACATCCCATTCGTCGCGATTATCATCCCAGTTGCCTATAACTACTATAACAATCCTCGACTGGTTCACTTGGCCTGACGAAGCTTTTGTGTCAAAAGCGAAACGTTGCTCACTATACGCATAAGAATCAATCCTGAGTGTGTTCGGATGTATTGCCATAGACTGTAACTGACTGCTTACGTGCAAAAGATGCGTTAGGTGTTTCAGTAATCAATTTTTAACACAGCAAAACCATAGTGCGCATTTACACGAAGATTGGTGACTTGTTTGAACTAACCTCGTTTTGCGCTTCCGATCTCTCGTTTGGCGAGTAAATCAGTCTGATAGCTATTATGCCAATCAGTCTCTGTACTGAATATCGATTAGGACGGCGTCATCGTTGGCTTCGGTGCCTCCGGGACCACTCAGTATCTCACCACATATCATCATACAATCAGTGCCTTCACTCTTTTTCAGCAGCCCCGGAGGAGACGCAAGTCACCCCATTGTTCTACCCCTGGCCAATAACACCTTCAGAGGAGCCAAAAGAGCATCGTCACGCGACTGTAGCTACTGGCGCTTCCGATGAGGGTCTCGTAGAGTATGAACTTGAGGCCACTCTGCAAGTACATCCGGCGTTGGAGGTCGCAACAGATGATACTTCACTCTTCCCCATCACTACCGCCGGGCATGATGTTATTCAAACCAGCCCGGAGGAGACCTGTTCCTTCGAAGAAGTTGAAGAACTTCTACCTGACGGGAGTATTCTCCGAAGCAAGGTGGCCACTACCGAGACAGCGATTGCCATTTCCTCTCGTGATTGGCAAGAAGGAGTGGATGCAGCCTTGGATTCCGGAGCCTATGAAGTGCAAGAACCCGAAGAACGGACTGAGGTAGGTAGTAGGAACGATTTGCAAATCATGCATCTTTCACTTGCAAGTCCGAAAACCTACACATGTCCACTTAACCACTGAGCCTATTATCAAGTCAGTGTCACGAAACGTGATCACATTACCGAATGATATTTTTATCCTCAGCTTTTCCATCCACCTGTAAACTAAGAAGTTTTTCGACCACTCCTCCAATCTGTTTGCTGGTGGATTCTCAAGTGTGCTATTTGTAATGTACTGTTGTAACATAGTACTGATGAGTAGCTTCGAATTAAGTCATTTTTGTTTACTGGCTGAAATGGCCAAACTAAGGCCTTCACAGTTCGGATACGGGGATCACGGTTGTATTCTCGCGTCGTTCATCTAGAATGATGGACGAAATGGGACTAGTGTTACATCCTGCTTTACTATTTCCTTGTGGTGGTTGTAAAGGTGGAGGAAATCGAAGAAGTTCTCCCTGATGGCACCGTGATCACGCGACAAGTCACAACGAGGTACATCACGGATCGGGTGGTGGAGCATGCGGCTTCTGATGAAGTCATTTCTGAGAGAAGTCAGGAGGAGGAGAGACAACTTCAAACGGCCGAAGAGGATCATCAAGAAAGACTGTTGAAAGGAGCGGAGCCAGATCTGGGTAAGTCCTCCTTTCAACTTGTAGCTTGTGAGTAGCACGAAATGTTGGAATAGTTAGTGGTGGTTGTGTTTCTTACTATCACCTAAAACAGCATGATAAACCCTGGTAGATGTGCAGAAAAGCTTAAATTACTTCTGTGTAGAGTTAAATGGTCCATTAGTTACAGACTCCGAACGCATGCGAAATTCGCTGATCGATATTACTATTGGCTCTACTTTTGTCCCTGTTGGTAATTCAACTACGGTAAACTACAGCACTCGAATGTTCTATTTTTTCTTTGTTTTCATTACGAATTAATGAGGCACATACAAGAGAAAGTAATCATGGTGCTGTCTCGATCAAAATGTGCGGCATAACCGTGCGGGAATGATTATGGACCAATCTGTTCTGTCACTGTAAATTAAGTTATGCGCTTCAGCATAATGGACTGACGTGAGACACGTCTGTACTATTTTCAATGATATTGTGCGGCGTGTCACCGTATAGACCTCGACTGGACGGTCCGTTTATTGATTAGGATGACTGGCATTTCAGTACCAGACACATCATTTTCCATGTTTGTCATTCATTAATTGTATAGGTGTATGTCAAGTGTAGGGCAACTATTATGAATGGCGTGTTACCTACGTGCTCGTTAACTGTAACGAAGGGATTATGGATGACTCCGGTCACACTATGAAGGGAGCTATGTAAAACCGATGCACATGCACACATTAAGACAGAGGCAAGAACATTATTTAGTTCAAAATGTGCAAATTATCCGAAAGGTATTCAAGCACACCAACGTTTTTGATAAGGCTTCTAGCATTGTGCTCAAACTTGGATAAAACTAAACTGTGTAGAGACCCCATAGTTTACGAAAACCCCACCGACGGTCGTGACTGACCTTAGCACTCTGCGGAATTGGCACGTGACCTCCGTGGATCAGAAACATCAAAGGTTTTCCGACAGACCATTTTTAAGTTCAAATGATGACTTAAACCTCTCCCAGCATGTCTATGGATCAGCTTTAATCAATAGCCAAGCATGGGTCTTTAGATGTGACTATTCTCTGTGTATGCAGAGTGATAGTTTCTTGCGCGGAGCACTCATCTCGAGTTCGAACTCAGATAAAGTGCCCACTTGTCATTTGGCCAACATGTACGTTGCACTTCATTGGAACCTACTAAAGGGTTCGAATATGTCGGGTCGCGGAGGTTAGCATCTTCCTGCATCACATTCGGGCCCATTCGCATCAAATCGAAGTCAACATGCAAATCAAAACATCCGTGCGGTTGATTTCTTTTGTTTTACCTCAAGCACGGAAGCACAGGCTAGAGCAAGTTGTACACAAATGCGTCAGCATGCGATGACGAGTCTTTAATGAAATGTTCGTCATATTCTCAGTGTTGTCAATACATGAAGCAGTTGTTTCAGATATAGAAAATAGAACAACTTGGTGTTCAGTAATAAAGGTAAATCAGTAGGACTCTAAATACCTCAGTCCAGATGACTTTATACTGAAACTGAAGGAGGTCGTAATTGAAGTTATCACGCGTTCAGACGGATGTTACGTCCCTTGCGGCCTCATAAGCAGTACTCATTCTATATGCTCTGTGAGCAATACTGAATGGACACTTAAAATAGTGAGTTAGAATATATAACTTTGTGTTGCTCCATCAATATATTATCGGGCACGCACGTTGGATAACGTCTATTAGTAACGCATACTGTCAGCGCAGTTCCGATGTGTGACGTTCTATTCAGGTATGGCGCGCTCGCGAAATCTGTGATCTGCAAATTGGGTGTCTGGGAATTTCTTTAATTCTGACACTGATCTCGCTTCGACCTTTGTTTCGGGCACTGTTCCAATGTTTCGTTACTCGACACTCGAAGTGCATAGTGGGTGAGTTATCCTCTCAGCTCCTGCACCACACGATTCAACCGGTACCTGCGAGTGCTGTTCGATGTGTGCTTTTACGGAAGCGGTCTCAGTATAGTGAAGTTACTTAAATGTAGTATCCTATGCGTCGTTATGAGGTCCACACGAAGCCGACGGTCTTCGAACGATATGTCCCGTAGTCTGGGAGTGAACCTGGTAGCCACATGCTGAACACATACCAGTTTTCGCACCGCACAACGGGTGAGCAGTACCGGATCATTGGTTTTCTGATAGGAGAGAAAAGACGACTAGCTATCTCTTCACATCTAGTGCAAACCTGCGGTGGAGCGCCCAACGCATGCGTAGTCCGTTTCCATATGGCCTGTTCGTGTTGTTCACGGAATTCGAATCGCGCAGCATGAGAGTACGCTTAGTTCCTTCACGGAAAGTGTGGGATATAGCGGACGGCCGGCCAAAATGTAGACATACTCCCGTCACCACCCTTTCCCAGGGTCAAAACTAACCACTTGACTGGTTTGGCTGACAGTCTGACACCTGCAGATCATATGGACAGGCGGTTGAGGTCATGCTGAAGTACATTACAGTAGTTGGGAACACACTAATAATCCTCCAAATCCTCAGGTCGTCCGCAAATAAAGCACGTGGTGACCGAAGAAGCTTAGGCATTTTGTTGGTGTGGTTCAGGAGCAAAATAGGCCTCAGTACTGTGCCTTGGGGTACCCTAATCGTGGATGGATAGTGTCATTCAGTTGCTCAGCCACCTGTACTCTCCACTTTCGCTCAAAAAGAAGTCGCTGCTCCACTGGTGCACTGCGCCATCAACACCGCACGCTCTCAGCTTGTGTAGGAAGACCACATGGTCCACTTTGTTGAACGCTTCACCGAAATCAATCTAGAGCATGTCGAAACACTTTTCCTGGTCTAGCGCTTGCAAACAATCGTACAGCGTCGGAAACAAGTGCCTGATTCATGAGCAGTTTTTCATGAAACCGGGCTGTGCCTGCGTCAGAAGGACTTTCGCTTCCAGCAGCTGCAGCAGATCTTTCTTCACCATCTTTTAGAGTAAGTTGAACGAAATGGAGATCAGAAAAATTGGCCGGTAATTGTTCACCTTTCCTGGGTTTCGGCCCTTCGCAATTGACTTCACTACTGAGAATTTACAGTCGCACGGTAATACGCTTTCGGACAGCGACTTGTTGAACAGATTAATCACGGAAGGCGAGATAAGGGCCGATGGAGACTTGAGAATTAGCGAGTGGAGCCCACTAAGATCGACAAACTTCATGCCGCCAAGACTTGCGGGTAGCTTGGGAACATCTTCCACATCGCAATCCAAGCCTTCGAGTTCGGTTGGGCTGCACGCTTCGAACTCGTTACGGACGTACGGCCATTTGGAGATACGGAGGACGGGTGCGCCGCCAATGCGGACGCATGCTCACTGCTCGGACTTGGGCTGTCCGTCACACCCTTCTAACGTCGCTTTGCATGTGAAAGACCCCGGGTGAGTTTCGTGCAGCTCTCGTAGAACATCTGGACGCAATTGGGGTGGTATGATTGTTCTGGATCTCCAGAGTAGACATTCATCTTCAAGACTATGCTGGGAGCGTCGAGTAAAGTATGATAGCAGTTACGGCTCACATATATCAGGCCATTCCTGGGATACTAAACGCTTGACTCTGGCAAGTAGTATGTATTGTTCGGTTTAATGACGGATATCTGCACTTGGCACCGGATTTCCCACTAAATGATGAAGCAAATTAACCAGTTCAGCAGGTTTACGCAATCTGGTAACTGACTTAACGGTAAGCGGCTCAGTGCGTCAGCGACTCCATTCGCTTTCCCAGAAACAGCTGAGATTTTGTCGTTTTAGTAAGAAAGCAGTAAGGCACAACGTTGCATACCAGGGGACGCCGTCTGATTGATTCCCTTTTTCACACCGATCAAAGTTAATAAGGGTTTGTGGTTTGTAAACATTTCAAACCTTCCTCCCCAAAGATATTGGTGAAATTTCTTGACCACAAAGATAACTGCTACGACTTCCTTGTCTAACTAGGCATAATTCCTCACCGCTAGTGCCGAGCTCCTGGATGCGAAAGCTATGGATGGTTCGACCACATCATCCATTTTGTGAGATAGCACGGCTCCCAGTCCTGTGGGTGATGTGTCGCACCGGAGAATAATCGGCCTCTTTGGGTCAAAGTGAGCCAGCGAACTGGCCTTACTTATAGCCAGCTTGACTGCAACCTAAGCATTTTATTGTTGTGGTGACCACAGCCATCGGGTATTCTTACGCAGCAATGTATACCAGGGTGCCAGGGTAGTTGCTAGGTTGGGCAAAAAACGACTGTAATGAGTCACCATCCCGCGAAATAATTGCAATTCGGGAATGTTACGCGGTGTCGGCGAATCTAGAAGGAGTTGACTTTTCTCCCGTAATAGATGTAACGCATAGCTATCTAAACGAAACCCCAGGTACTCAACGCTATCGGAGAAAAAGACACTTGGATTTTTCGAGCTTAAGTCCGCTCTCTTTGAGGCGCTCCAACACAGTAGTGAGTGCCGTCAGATGCTCGTAATCCGTACTGCCGGTAACCAAGGTATCGTTCAGGTAAGTACACACTCTAGGTACACCTTTCACTAAATTGTCTACAATCCTCTGAAAAATCGCCGGCGCAGAGTGTATTCCGAACGGTAATCGGTTATCGTGAAACAACCCCAAGTGTGTATTGCAAGTCGTAACTTACTTAGTAGATTCATATAGCTCCACTTGAGAATAAGCGTGGTTCAGATTAAGTTTGGAGAACTTTTTCCACCCAACGGGGTTACATAGAGGTGATCTATTCGTGGGATAGGGTAATGTTCCGTAGTCGTCGCTTGAATAGCCGTCAGTTTGTAGTCACCACAAATGCGAATCGAGCCATCTGGTTTTTGTACCGGAACGATCGCTGCAGCCTAGGATGAGTGGCGTACAGGGGAGAGTATTCCGTCTTTTCGAAGACCATCCAGCTCCGACTCTAACTTCCGGCGGATCGCAACAGGTAAGATTAGTGCTTTGAAAAACTTCGGTTGTGTACCTGGCATGAGGTTGAAACGAGCTTGGAAATCGCGTAATTTTCCG